CCAGGGGAAATTTTTTACAACTTTTTTTGTGTGCATTTCAAAAAACATAATATCCGTGATGATCTGAGACTGATTTGACGCTTCAGGACCTGAACCGTTTACCCTAACTGAGTAAACGGTTTTTAGTTTTTAACCTTAAACTCAAGCACACTTTGGTGATGTGAAAGGATAATGACGTGAAGCACACCAGCAGGTGTTTCCCTGAATGAATAAAAAAAAAAAAAAAAAAGAGAGAGAGAAGGTTTTGGGATAGCCTAGTCAAAGTATGGATGTACATTTTATTTAATTGCTGTGTCGTTTGTCCTTAAGAAAGCCGTTCATGTTCGAAAACCATCCAAGGTGCCAGAACTCTGTCAGAATTCTGCAAAAATGAGTTGGCCAAATTACCTCCACAGTGATGTAAAAGACTCCCTGCCAACGCTTTAATGGCAGCTGTTGCCACTGAGGGTTTTCTCCTTTAAGGGGTAATTACTTTTTGATAAAGGACATCGCTTTTCTTCGCTTAAAAAAATAAAATAAAATCATCATTTGAAAACTGCATTTCTCAGTTCAATAAAATGTGTTTATTGAACTGAAAAGCATGACCAACAAAGGAAAAACTGAAGAAATCTGTTGGCGGGGGGAAGGGGGCCACAAAATTCTTGTCCTGTCAGTGATTTATCAAATTATCTAACTGAAAAACCAACTTGGTGGTAAAAAGAAAATAAAACTAATAAAACATCAGAATCCTGTCAGATATATAATGACTGCACCATGCAGCCTGATAATGCCCAACTCATCTGTCTCTTGCTGCTGTGGAGTAATGACACTAAACAAGTTAAATTGTACTCCGATCTATAAATCAGTTTGAATGCAATGAGTTCTTCACAGTGCAAGAACTCAACATGATATGTAATAATGTCACTTTTATGGGCTTAAATTTCTCTGAGGCCACTCGTAAAATATGAGCACACTTGATGTGACGGTTAGGCACTTTGGATGAATTCGTCTTTTTTTTCATCAGACGTCGGCAGGAAGCTCGCCTCGAATCGACTCTGCTCCTTGTACGAGGCACAGAGATCCGTGTTCTCGTTCCAAATTAGCGGAACGAATGAGCTGCCGAATTAGGTGATCATTGAACTGGCGAGTTGTTACACAGTCGGCCGTTCCGTGACATTCCACCGTCAGCAGTTTGCTGGCGGAGGACGGAGGTGGAGGAGGTTTGAAAAGGCGGAAAATAAGGAGGAGCAGATGCGAAGAGGAGCCAGCGGCAGGGGATGACGGACAGCTCACCAGCAACTCATTTATTTTTTTTAAGCCAATAATACAAGAATAACAGACACTAATGGGGCTCTCATGCAATATATTTGGAAAAGTATTCAAACTCCTATTTGTATTTTAGTGGGAAAATAGTAGTGCAAATTAAAAAAAAAGAAAAAAAAAGTAATGATTTCTTTTTTTTTTTAAAACAGTCCACTGTCACCACATGCTTGTCGGGATTCAAGAAAATCTGCTGGATATTCTTCGATAAATCAGTTTGAATAATAAACTAAACTTTACTGCATTGTTTGATAGTTAGGATCAAACTATTAGGCAGTCACTTAGTCATATAAATGATTGAATTAAATATCTTTCCGTAATGCGCCCTAAAGTGATATTTGTCGCAAACTGCTGCTAGTTAAAAATAAACAACATTTTTTTCTACATAAGACTGAAAAATGTCCACATTTAAAAACATCAATAGAGTAGAGATCAGCTACAAACAAAGAAAACAATGTCTGTCCTCATAAACTGACAGGCAAAGCAAGGAAAGCACTAATTACCCCAGACGGATGTCTGTTGACAGGGTAGACATTAGATGTTCCATCCAAAAATCTATCCTTTATTAAAGACGGTCTATGCAGACCATAACATTGAACTCCACTGTCTAGATGCACAAAGTGCTATTTAATAAATGCTGGTTGGAGTGTCACACTGCAGAGATACTTTTCTGCAGCAGAAACGGAGATGTTGTTCAGAGTTGACGGAGCTAAACACAGTCGTGGAAGGTAAACAAGTAGAAGCTTCAAACAGCCGGAGCTGGAGCTGGAACCAGAACGGGCTCCAAGCCTGACCCAGCTAGTCCGCCCCTGACCCCGCCCTTTCCCGTGCACTCTCCTCTCTCCCTCCTGCCAGCCTGCCAGCACCGAGGCTTTTTGCACATCAGCCGAGATGGGAACTTGCGGGGTAGCTCTTTGACTCTTGAAAGGTTTGGCCAAAACAACACATTTTGCCTGTGGGTGGTATTAAAAGTCCCATCCGCATCAATTCCACTCCTGCTAAGCCCCTCCCAATCCTCCGCCAGCAGAGCAAACATCATCTGGGTAGATGACTTTACAATTGGGATTTATTAAAGCATTTTCATATGCTACAGTGGCTCAGTCGCTGTGTTTGAGGATGATTTTATCTAAATCCAGTTGAGAATGGCAGGACTTTCAATTTATGCTCACAGATGCACGCTTTTCAACCTGACAGAGCCTGAGCTATTGCATGAGGAGTAATGGGGGGAAACATTTCAGTTTCCAGATTTTCAAAGCTGGCTCAGCCATACACCAAAGACCTGCAGCTGTATTTGCACCAAAATAGCTCTAACAAGTAACTCAGACTCAGGCAGGCTGAAAACAAATACGCGCCACAATTTTCAGATTTTTTTTTTTATTTTAAAATGGCCGCACCATTTTCCTCTTTCACAAAACATTCACTGCTTTCTGTTGCTCTACCACGTAAAATCGAAATTACGCACGTTGAAGTCTGTGGCTCTGAAGTTAAACAATGTGAAAAAGTTCAAGGGTTATGAACAGCCTAACCCCAAGCTTAAAAATATAGACGGGAACAGAGGCCAAAATAAGCCCTTTTGCTGTAGATAGCTCATAAAGCTTAACCTCAGCAAACCAGCAGTTTCCTTTTGGCTTGCGTTTCTGTGATACTTAGCTTAGTGGGACTTGACAAGGCAACGCTGCACTGCCCCAGTAAACAACTGCAGAGTCCTCAGTCCCAGATCAACATCCCGAACTCAATAACAAGCTGCGAGCACGCAGTGTGTCAGGGACCCATCTGGACATAGACTGAAAGCTGCACTTGTTTTTTTTTTTTTTTTTTTTTTTTCTGTTTTTTTGATGCTGTGAATTCCACCTTTGTTTGTGAGCCAATTCTGAATAATTACAAAAGCAGGGGATTTAATCAAGGACCAGCTGTCTGAAGTAATGCATGTGTTTTGTTTTTTTTATGTTTGTGTGCACCGATGAGGTCCTCGCATCAAAGTGAATCAGAATATCACAGAGGAACAGCTACGGCAACATCTGAAGCTTTCCCTTAAAACTACAAACACACACACACACGCACGCACGCACGCACACACGCACGCACTAACTGCATCTTTCGTAGAAGGAGGCACGCTCGCACACATCCACGTCCAGAACTGGGGTTTGAGTGTTTTGAAAAACGCTGTCAGCATGCGGTGATAAGAGCAGAACCATCTGCCTCACTGTTACGAATAGCTTGAATGTGTGAAAGATGCTGTGCGGTTAATGGACTTGCTATTGTCTTTTAAAATAACAAAATCTGGTGAGACGTGTGACACGCTATCCATCTGTCACACTCAGCATCTATCACACCACTGATTAGCTGCTACAATCATGGACGTCTGATGAAGCGCCACCACAAGCCACCGACGGCTCCGGGTTTTTGTGATTGGACTGAAAGTGAGGCGACCACATGTGGTGGTTGCAGGACTTTAACAGGTGCATTGTGTCCACTGTTGAGTGTTTTTTTTTTTTTTTTTTCCTCTAAATTTCACCTTGTCAGCTTTAGCACAAACAAAATCCTGGGGGGAATTATGTGGTTTTGGAAAAGCATTTCAAATATTTACAGAGCAGCCAGAGGTAAGATAACGTCCTGCAAACGTCCTCCGCTGGATGATCTGCACAGATGCTGTGAAAGCCTCAACTAACTAGACATTTATAGATATAGTGCTTTTACAGATTTTTACCATAGTTTTTCCAACAATGTTTCTATTCTAATGTTCTACATATTAGGGCTGAAAAAAGGAGCCAATGTGGGAAAAAAAGCTAAATGTAGAAAACAACATAGACCCAATGTTTCTTAACTTTAACAAATTTCAATCCTCAGTCTCTACAGCTGTGCATCAGGTCATTTTTAGCCATTTGTTTCTGCACAGCTCTCTTATGGACCCCACTGTGCCCTTTTAATCAGGTTGAGGCCTGACAGAACGAGTGGAACATCTTGATTTTTCCCCATTTCAGCCACTCAGTTGTAGATTTGTTGCTGTGTTTGTTGTCGATCTATACATTTAAACAGAACTCAATCAGTAGGACAGATGAACTTGCATTTAACTCTTAACTAATTTGGTAAAAAGCACAATGTCTCCATTTTGGTTCACTGATATAACACTTTGCTAACTAATCCATTGCTACCATATTCTTTCAGAGAGAATAGTCTTATCTAAACAAGTTGTAATTTATAAGTCTACTTCTTGGTACTAGCATAAACTTTGAACATTAGACAGACTTATGTTTCCATCTACTGTTCAGTTATTATGCACATAGAGCAGATTTCTCTACCTGTTGTCTAAGCTAGGTTTGTTAGCATGAATGCTGCAAACTACACAAGTAGCTAACCCATTAATTTAATAGCAGTAGCCAATGTAAAACACAGATATCTAAAATAAAATTGTATTTAGTACAGAAAGCATTTATAGTAACTAGTTTGACTACCAACATGGTAGCTAGTTCAGTTGTTCCTTTTTTTCTTGTATTATTTTAAGCATCTCACCACCAAGCAGTGTTGTCTGCAGGTGAGGTAACTCTGCAAGGACAACATCTTAATTCAATTAATTTGTAGATTATATTATAAAGAGGACATGATTAATAAGGGACATATCTAAGAGCAAACAAGAGCAACAATTAGAAACCAAAAAGTGTTTGGTGTCGCAGATAAATCTGTCGATTTGAACATTTTGTTACCTGAGAGATTCTGCCATGCGCCGCAGGTCTTCATTCTGCTGCTTAAGCCGCTCGAGCTTGGCCAAAATCTTGGAGAGTTCCCTGCTGGACCGCTCCGGATGCTCGCTGTCCCTCACCAAGTGGCCACCGATGTAGAAGAGGAGAGTGCCCCAGGCCAGCAGCACCAGGGTAATCCACCGCCAAGAGCCTGCCCAGGGCCTCATGCTTCCACCACGCCCACCGAAAATGTCCTGTGGTGTGCCCGTCCGCCCGTCGATCCACCAGCCGGCCGGCCTGCCTGGATGCGCACGCAAGCTGTGTGCTCCGTCACCAGAAATGCCACAGCGTTAATCTTGGCACTGGCATCTTTGCAAGGATGACAAACGGCAGATAAGTGGGAGATGTGCGCCTCTGTGGCTCAGGATTATCTATGTAAAGGCAAACGGTGCTTCTCCAGTGATCAGCCAGTCTTTCCTGTGTGCTAAAGCATGACGGCCCGATTAGTGGCTTCACCTCTCCCCCGGCTCGGCGCTGACCGGCTTATCCAAGAGTGCTGCGCTGTGTCCGTCCAGTCCCACCGGATTCTTTTATTCAAGTTGCATTCTGCGGAAACAAAGAAAGAAAGAAAAAAAAAAGGAGTTAGCCGGGGTCACGTGTGGTTAACGCTGATATGCAAACAAGCTCATTAATTATTTTTTTGATTTGCAAATATGTCCTGAGGCAAACAGAAGCACTTTTTAGGATTGACGAAAAGCAACAATACAACCGAAGTGGAAAGCCCGAGACAGACGAGCAGAAGACAGAGCAGCCCTGGATGCTGCTGACTGGTCCCGACAGAAACCTGTCTCAGCAGCCCACAGGATTGATCAGCATGACACTGCAATTTGCATTTACACAGTGATGTGCAGTCCCTAAGCTGAGCTGCACTTCTGTAGAGACAGGACACGGATGTTCCACTCTCTGCGTCTAGTCTGTTCGCACATTATGTACACGCTTGTACACATCCACAATGAACTCAGCATGCACACATACACAAGCAAGGACACTAAAAGATTCAGGTTTTTTTTTCTTTTTTTTTTATTCAGTCCAGTCGCCACACATTCACCCCGTCTTCTCCCTCAAGGGTTGAGGCTTTAACCCTCAGTTAAAGCACAACCTTTGCTAAATTATTCAGAAAAAGAATTAGATGCGCTTTTCCTGGACGATCTCCGGTTTTCTGATGTGCAAATTCACACCATAACAACAAATAAAAGAAGGGAATGTATCGCAGGCTCCTCGATGGATATGGGAGTTATGAGTCCTAAAGCATTAAATATAAGATCAACGCCTCTATTTTTCCAGGATTGCGCCACCAATAGCAGCACCATGTGGGAGTAGCTTTTTTTACATTAGTTCTGATTTGTTCTCTTTGTGGACTTTTGTGCATAATTGATTTGGTTGAGGCAGTGAATGTTTCGCCGATTATTCCCTCTGGTTTTGGAGGTTGTGCAGCGGGAAGGATTCTTTTGCTGTTACTTTTTTTTTTTTTTTTTACTTTCAGACAGTTGCTATAATGAGTAACCGTGGCAACAAGGTGCTGTTTTCAAAAGTAGAACCGGCTGATTAGCTTCACGAAAACTCAAATACCTGAGCTGTGACCCAAAATCTTGCAGGCTTTTCGGATGTGGAGCGGGGCCAAAGAGCAGAGAGAAATCTCTTTCATCCGTCATGATGGGCGAGGATCATGACCACAACTCAAACGTCTTTCTGTACATATGGCCAGACAGAGATTTAAAGAGGAGCGGCAAAAGCAAATGAAGTGGATTAGCAGTGCTTTCCAACAACCAATGATGCCATGCAGGACATGTTACTGTGAAATGTCGCCTTTGCTGCGAGGAAAAGCATGTCAGAAGTCAGAAGCTTATTGAGATTTATTTTATCCTTGGGATAAAATTACATTTTTGTTTTACTGAATCTTTACAGATTTCCCTAAGTTTTAGCTTATTGTTAACAAACCACCAATTGGTTAATGCATTAAGAGAAGGAAAACAGTGATAGTTTACAATTTTGGTACATTTAATTAACTGTTTTCTTGTTTGTTTGTTTGTTTTTTGTTTGTTTTTTTTTGTAAATGATCGTTAATTCGAGACTTATCAAATAAAAAATGTCCAATTCTGGTCACTGCCCTATATCTGGAGTAAAAAGTTTTCCCAATAAGCTCTGTGACATATTGAACCTGTCTCAAGGTGATTCAGCGAACTACCAGAGAAGAGAAACAACAACCAGAAAAAAGAAAAAAAAAACCTGGATCACCTCTTTCCTTCATCCCAAAGCAGCAGAGAAGATGGGGATGGATGCGTGCTGAGTTTATGAAGCAGCCTTCGCTGTCAACTCCCAAACAAAGCCCTGTCATGTCACCGAGACCAGACCTGTGACAGGATGAAGACTGGCAGATATGTGCATGCGTGTGCAAGTCATCTACATGTGTGCCATCATAACAGCGAGCTGGAATGATGCCAAACATCCTAGATATTCCATGAGTGGCACTGGTTGGGATGGGCTTGATTGGCATGCTGCAGCCTCTCTTGTGTTTCCGTCTGAGCTGCAGAAACCGAGTAGAAATGTTCCTGCTGGGGTTCTTGCGGCAGCGAGGAAACGAGTCAGCGGTGGCTCGTGTTTACAGCAGTGGTAAAGTTGATATGTAGGACGTAAACGGTGGCATGCTGTAATATTTTAGGGCGTGTTCAGGCAACGGGGGCACAAACTTCCCCAGTAAAGCAGAGAGGTGCAGACTTCTGATTGAACGACGTTGGAATACCGAAATCTGTGAAGAAGTTAGCAACAGTTACGGTTCTGCCTAACCTGGGCTGGCATGCGAGAAGCTCCTTTTTATGCATGCAGCGCAACAAAGTGCTGAGCAGTGTTTTATTATGGAAAATAAGAGGTGCGTGAGGATAGCACTCTGCTAGATAATGCATGATTGGGACTTCACTAAAAGCCAGGCTGGATGAACCCTTGTCTCTGTGTTTGAGGAACCATAAATGGGGTTTGAGCGCGGCAGACTAAAACGGACACATCCGAAGCTTCTCGATGTTTAAATCGGACTTGACAAGATTTTGCGATTACTTTTAACCTACTTGTGAAGCCCGTACTAATAAATGAAAACAGACACTAAATGGTTCAATGGAGAGGATATCGATGTCACAGAATATATTGTGAATAAAGGTATTTACTTTCAAGGCAAGTTGAAAATGCAGTCACTGCAATAGGCGACAAAAAGGATCATTTTTTTCATACGCAACTGTTTTTGCACTAGAGGCAAACAGGACCTAATTATTCAACCACTTGACTGGAGAGCTTATTGTTGCTAGGTAACAAATAACTTCTTCAGTGGCCTCTAATATCAGCTCCTTTTTCTTTCCATGGTTTCATAGTGTTGGCAGATTCAAACTCCTCGATTCTGATTAGTCAGGGAAATGGAGCCATTAATGACAAGGTCGGTGTTCCAATAACTTTGAAACTGAACGATCTGGGACCGCAAGGGGTCCGCTGTATCCCACGAGCCTCTATGTGACGATGACATTGAATGCTGTCAACCTTAAATGGCATAAAAGTCATAAGCAAAGAGACTCAGTCAGCACCAAAAAAATAAATAAAAAATAAAAAAATAGCACTACTTTGTAAAGTTTTGCTATCTTCCAATACAGCTGTTTTTCATCTTGTCTTTTTGCTTCAACTATTAAAGTATTTATGGTTTTACTTCAGCTTTGGTTTCTAAGAGATGACACACGTTTTCTGTTGCTATGGAATTGCGTCTTATTAAAGTTTAAAAATAAGTAAACGAGGGCTTGAATAAAAAAGTTACTTGATCAACATCTTGTGATCCGACAGCCTGCTTGCAGCGAAGCGATTCTTGAATGTTCCTTAAGTGCTGCTCTGCTTATATTCTTATTTCCATTGTGTGTAGTGTTGTAACCAGTCGTAAAAAAAAATAAAGAAATGAGATTAACAGTAAAAAAATAAAATAAAATAAAAAAAAAACGTAATATTTTGTGGCGACTTAAGTTTTGGGAAAACAAGCTATTTGTCTCCTTGAGGCAGAAATCTTGCATTTTTATATTTAGTCATCTCTCGGCTGTTCCATTGATAAATACCCTGTGGAAAGTATCAAACATAGCTTGTGACTTTCACCAAAGTCTGTGAATTTTTAAAAAAAAATTTCATTCCTTAAAAAGTTTTAATTCTTGGAGATATTGAGTTTCTGTACAACTGCAACAAATTGCAAATTACTGTTTTTTTGTTTGTTTTTTTTTCAGTGAGCATTTGCTTGGAGAGGCATTAAGGCTACACAGTAAGCATGGCATTACAGGAACCTGTGTGTACTACCAGAAAAGATTAGCTACTATGATACGTAAATGACTCTACATTACAATGTCACCAGGCGACTCTGAACCCATCCAAGCATTAAACAGATGCTTAGAACAAATCGATATGTGGATGTGCCATAACTTTCTCCAACTACCAATAAGCTTGATTGATTGATATTTTATCCTTCAAAACCGTTAAACTGAGTATTTACTGACACCAGGTGGCAAAGTATTAATATATTACCGCTAGGACGGTAATTTATTTGGCAATCCTTGTTGTTTAAGGCCGAATAAAACTTCCTAGTATTTAGAGCAGGCAATGTGGTCAGGTCATGAAGGAACTACTACTGCACAACAGCAGACCTCAAGCAATTTCTTATAAAATCCTTTTAGTAGTGACAGAAGTAATGATTTTTCCCCCAGTAGCTGGATAAACCGCTCATTACCCGAGTCCTCTGTTTGCCGCGAACCCAAAGGAGAAAGGCATAAACACTTTTTAATTATTTGTTCACTGTCACAATTCATATAGTTATCGCAACATTCATCAGTGTTATCGAGTGTCGCTTGTTTCTAAAATAGCGCGCGGCTCTAATTCCTGCCCAACAGTAAAATGGAAATCACAACAGACATTCCTGACACAGCATATCTGGTCAGTCTATATTGCCAATTCCGGTCAAAAACTGTACGAGCAGATTGAACGATGTAATCACTTTGCTCGAGTTTACAAAGACGGCAGGCAGAATATGACCATGACCACGTTCAATAAGACTCCGGTAAATAAACATACTCTGCTCAGAATGTGTGCAAACCTGCAGGTTTGCGTGTTGATTCAGTGACTAAAATGAAAGCCGTTCGCACCAACTGAACATTGGGACAATTATCAAATCCAGTCGGTGGCTTCAGAAAACGAGCAGAAAGGCTTCTATAGTTCCTTTTCATCGTGCCTTTCAGCTCGGCTTTGGCTTTGATGTAGTGGCACAGGAGAGGGGAAAACGCATTATAAAGTTTCAGATAGCCTGGTTTTTATAATTAAAAGAATGAAGCAACGTCTATTGAGTCCTCTGTCCGCAGAAAGTAACCCGATTAAAGAGAAAATGTTGCTCTGCCATGATACTCCGCCACAATTTGTTCCGCTGATGAAAATCTGCCAGAGTAATATTCCACTGAAGATTTGAGCAATTTCAGAACCCTCTCACATCTGCCCTTCAGTCAAACGAACAGAAGGGTATACATTATTAATGGAAATGATAATAATGC